CTGTGAAAGAACACTGTATGCTATAGTCTTTTAGATCTCACTGGCTCTCACTGCCAGCCCCTTGAGTTTCAGCCACCATTTAGCCCCCGCATGTTAAATAAAGTGCATGTCCATGTATCTCCATCCCCAGACGGGCACATCAAGTGCACGTGCGAGGGCAGCTCTTGTGCCCCGGGGCACCACTGCGATGGCGAACAGTGCTTCTCCTCGGTGACGGTGAGCGGGGACCAGCGCGTCTTCACCCGCGGCTGCATGACGAACACCCAGCAGAGCCGCATGATGTGCTCCAACGCGCCCTCTGCCAGCTACGCCATCGAGTGCTGCTCGCACTACATGTGCAACGCCAACGCCACCACCGACACGCTTCTGCCTCTGCTGCTCACAGGTGGAACTGCACCTGCGACACATCAAGGTGTTGGGAGTATCTTGGGTTGGGAGACTAGTCTAGTCATGTTCATATGTTAAAATACAGGGTGGTAGATTATAAACATGAAATACTACAGACAAGAGTGTCTAACTTTATTATGGTTTAATATTTTTAATGGTTTAATGTAATTTCACTAATTATTGATCTTGTCAGGGTGAGATGTCAAATGCAACATATAGGGTAGTTTAAATGTTATTCATACAGCATTTTTTAAGGTAAATTGATACTTGTTTCCATTTAAGTCCAACTGAAGGACTGCAAGGTCTTTGAAAATCATTTTTTTTACTTGCCCCTTTCTACACAGTGCCAGAAGGAAAGCCAATCAGGTACAGGGTGGAGACCCTTGTCATCTTCGTGATTGGCCCGTTTGTGGTGCTGGCCCTCCTATCCCTGCTGGCCGTGCTGGTGTGTCGGCGGCTGCACCACGGCCGGCTGGAGAGGCTACACGAGATGGACGCTGAGCAGGGGGCCATCGACGGCCTCATTGCTTCCAACGTGGGCGACGGCACGCTGGCTGTAAGGCTTGCTTCCCTCCTACCTGCACTACAGCGAGAGCTGATCAGCTTCCACCTTCCTTTTAAATTGGAAAGAACACGCTTGTATTGTATGAAACTCGGGGAAGATTTAATATATGGATGGGATAGCATTAGATAGGATTTCACAAACCTTTTCAAAGATGATACTTCAGGACCTGTGAGTTTGGACCTGAAGTCTTCCACTGTTGCTGTCAATCACCTTCCAGGATCTCCTGGATCACTCCTGTACTTCAGGCAGTGGCTCTGGCCTTCCCTTCCTTGTTCAGAGGACCGTGGCCCGGCAGATCAGCTTGGTGGAGTGTGTCGGTAAGGCCCCATGCTTGGGGGGCGTCTGGGCATCGGTGCCAGTCCACTGTATGCAGGTGATGTTGAGAGAGAGAGAGAGAGAGAGAGAGAGGTGTTTGTCTGGGCAAATCTCTAACACCTCCCTCCCCACCTCTCTGCTTTTTATAGGAAAAGGGCGTTATGGGGAAGTCTGGAGGGGCCAGTGGCAGGGAGAAAACGTGGCAGTGAAGATCTTCTCCTCCAGAGATGAGAAGTCCTGGTTCAGAGAAACAGAGATTTACAACACTGTCCTGCTGCGGCATGAAAACATCCTCGGTACGGCAGTGAAGGGGTTCTTTCCTCTGCTTTGACGCTTCATGGTTTTTTTTTTTTTTCCTGCTGGGAAACGGGAGAACAAACAGGAACAAGGGCAGACCAGGATGAAGCTGGAACTGGATTCATCTGTTTTGAACGTCAATGTCTGAGCCCTGTGCCAGGACACAGGGAGAAGTCTGTCATGAGGCTCGCCTAGTCCGACTGATCAGTCGCTGCAGTGATAACTAATCTCTTGGCTGAGAACCCAAATACCAGCAGATGAAAAGGGCAATAAACAAAAGATATTTTTAGAAATACATTTTAAAAGTAGCCAAAGTGCCTTGTTCCCTGGCCTTATGTGCCTTTTTTATTTTAGATTGATGAATGATAGTCATAGATGTTCTGAAAAAATAGTAATTGCTTCTCATTTTTCACTAAATGATTAGACTAGGTATACTTATGTCACTTTTACAAGATTTGCTGGGACCTGCTGGTCAGAAGAATACTGCACTGTGCAGAGTGTACTGTATGATTCTGGTGATGACGCACTCGCAGGATACAATGTTAGAAAGGTCCCTTTAGAGTCTATTTCTGATCCTGATCGTTCCTGGTACGGAGCGGTGCTGACGCCTTTATGGTTTGTCACACAAATTAGTAATGGACAGACATCTAAAATGAGAAGAACCTCACGGTGCATTTTGGTATCAACGGACGATGGAAAAACATGACCAGTCAGCAGGCAGAGGGGGCTGTAACTAACGGCTAACCAGCCGTCATACTGTATGTCGTCTGCAGTACCTTTAATTATGTTTTTAAGGATTTAACACATCAGACCTGTCTCCTCCTCCACAGGATTCATGGCTTCCGACATGACATCGCGTAACTCCAGCACGCAGCTCTGGCTCATCACGCATTACCACGAGAACGGCTCGCTCTACGACTACCTGCAGCGTGTTGCCGTGGAGACGGCGGACGGGCTGCAGATGGCGGCGTCGGTGGTGAGCGGACTGGTGCACCTGCACACGGAGATCTTCGGGACAGAGGGAAAGCCGGCTATAGCTCACCGTGACCTCAAGAGCAAGAACATCCTAGTGAAGAAGGACCTGCGCTGTTGCATCGCTGACCTCGGTGAGTGGGAGTAGCTTGCAAAGACTGGGCACACCCCTGCAGACCTGGTGTTTTATCTGATTGGCTGATGATGTAGAATATTTAAGTGTCTAGTTCTTACGCACGTATTTATTTAATTTCACTAGTTATCACTCACTTGGACAGGAAAGTATTTATTGCAAGATCAATATAGTTGTCTTAAAAGTAATTTAGTGTATTTTTATACCTGAAGTCTTAAGCTCCTCTGTGTGTAATGGTTTTCATTAATGGCTGTTTTAGGAGCTGAAAATAATTTAACATGCATCTTATTTCAGTATTATGCCAATATATGCACATACTAGCACAAATGGAAATTTCATATTGAGTCTTCAGCAAACCAGTTCAGTGTCATTTTATTTGCATTCTGTAATTCATTCTGTCAGCAGCTCCATCGGGAGATGGAGGTTAATGTAGATCTCAGGTGGAATGAAAACGAGTATGCCCTGCGGCCCAGCCGGAATTACGTTTCAGACACCTGATTAAATTTAATCTTTGCATTGCGCAAAAACGTCTTCACGATTCAAGGTGACGGGCTGAAGAGATTTAGGATAAAATTCGGCCTCTCCACCTCCTCAGGCCTGGCAGTCACGCACTCGCAGTCAGACAATCAGCTGGATGTTGGAAATAACCCCAAGGTTGGTACCAAGAGGTACATGGCGCCGGAGGTTCTGGACGAGACCATACAGACAGACTGCTTCGACGCTTACAAGCGAGTGGACATCTGGGCCTTTGGGCTGGTCCTCTGGGAAATTGCTCGCCGGACCTACAGTAACGGCAAGTCCTGGCGCCGTCGTTCCCAAGCCCCTGGCTTGCATGTTTACCCATATGTGCCGGCGGCCTTTTCGCTAAAGAATACTAGCTATTTCGTTTGAGGGGATTTGTGTTTGACGTTCCACACCCAACCTGTCATCCAGGCATCGTCGAAGAGTACAAGCCGCCCTTCTACGACCTTGTGCCCAACGACCCCAGCTTCGACGACATGCGCAAAGTCGTGTGCGTGGAACAGCAAAGACCCTTCATTCCCAACAGATGGTTCTCGGATCCGGTGAGTGGCTGGCTGCGATCCTGAGAGACCGACATTGAGTCACGTGTAATTCGGAACCATTTGTACGGTTGGAAGCTTACCGGAGGAAGTTGGGCTGCTAATTATGCATTTAAGCTCCTATCAGAGGATCTTGACGGGTGTACCGGTGCCAAAATCGACTAATCTGCGGACTGTATTCCAGACCCTGTCGGCCCTGGTGAAGTTGATGCGGGAATGCTGGTACCAGAACCCGTCGGCCCGCCTCACGGCACTGCGAATCAAAAAGACTCTAGATAAAATCTACAGCTCCCTGGAGAAAGGCAAAGCGGACTGCTGAAGACGGGCATCTCTGGAGGGGTTGGCCTGAACCAGCATGGGCGGGGCAAGGGAGGAGCAGGGTGGGGCTGGGACCTGGGGGCGGGGCTTGTACACAGACTGACACGCATCCAAACACCCGAAGGAGTAAAATGGGATGGGGGGGTGTTTTGTTCTGTCATTGTAAGGTAATTATTATCATTTTTTTGTATTGCTGTTTGTTTTTGTCACTATCTCTGGCTTATTCTTGTGTTAATCTGCCAGTGAACTTCCCTGCATTGGACTGGCTGCATACCATTGTGTGTGTGTGTGTGTGTGTGTGTGTGTGTGTGGAGGCCTCCTGCCCAGCATACCGTTGTGTGTGTGGAGGCCTCCTGCCCAGCATACCGTTGTGTGTGTGGAGGCCTCCTGCCCAGCATACCGTTGTGTGTGTGTGTGTGTGTGTGTGTGTGTGGAGGCCTCCTGCCCAGCTCTTTCTGTTGCGTGTGGCGTCTCCCGCGGGAAAAGCTGCAGGCCCAAGCTTTTGGGGCCCCGGGGTCTCTCCGTCCTAAAACTTCAGTCCTCGGGTAATGCCCCCCCCCCCCCCCCCCCCCCTTTAAGTTTTCTAGTTCGGCGTTGTGATTTCGGGCGTTATGCAAAAGCAGCTTTTTCTCAGTACTCCTTACGAGGCAAGGGCGGCTACCGGAACGTTCGACGTTTTAACGGCACGGGTGCCTTAGATCAGTGTATGTATCCTCCATCTCCCTGCTGGCCCAGTAGAGTTTACAGAAGAGTCACAATGTCATTTTTACAAAGCCAATAGAACCGGAACCACAAACCGCTGAACACCTTGTGCAGTGAACCTTAACGGCTGCCTGCGAAAGTGCCATAGCCCTTGATCATGTTTTCTCTATATATTAATATACAAACAGTAATATACAAACTGTAAGTATATATTCCTGTAGTCCTTCACCACTTCTCCAGCAGCGACCGGTTTAACAAAACAAAAAAGCATGTGGCTTTGGAACAGAAACGGGCGGTAGCTCTCAGTGGGAAACGTCTCGGTGCGGAAGCCGGCTTGCCAGCGTCAGGGAGCTCGTCACTGCAGCTCACTGCCACACGCCTGCCCTCGGGCTCTCTGCTCTTTTGGGTCCTGAAGTTTTTATATATTCGATTCTTGATTGGCACGGGGGTCTGTCGTCTGTCACAATGTGTCAGCCCCCCCCCCCCTGCCACCGCCCGTTTTCGGAGCCGTCCGCCATGACATTCTCCTGCCAGCTCTTCCCATGGCTGTATGCAAAGACAAGCTTCCATGATCTTACTTGGGTTGGGGAGGGGGGGGGGGGTTTCCACAGCCTGGAGGCGTCGATGACGCACAAAACTAAGTTTCTTCCTGAAAACAACAAATCTTGTGCTTCGTTTTAATATGTAAATCTGTTGCTTTTTCCAGTCTTGTAGTCCTAAAACATTTACTGGTATTAGTTTCTTGGTTCCAGTTGGAATGGATTTTTTTTCCTTTTTTTTTTTTTTTTGAGTTTTTTTATCATCAATTAAGGGGCAGAGCCAAGACCTGAAGAAGGATACTACAGTTAAACAAAAAAAAAAACATGCATCAGATTCATGCAGTTACCTTTCAGCCTGAACTAAGAGGTCTAGTGAAGATCATCTGGTGAAGGGGAACCTCACATTACATGTTACTGTATTAACATAGTCGCTACCGAACTTTATTTTCATCAGCACAATATTGTCACAAATGTGGAACATATTACTGTATAGCATAAACACTGCTATGAGCTTGCCTTTGTTAAATTACAACTGTGAATGCCTAAAAAAAAATCCCTAAATGACATGGATGGGAACAGTACAGATCTCACGTGGGGGGGGTAAAACGTAATGATGTACTACTGCTGGGCGCATAGTTTAGACATTTCAGCACTTTGGATGACCTGGCGCCAGAAGTATGTAGTGGGCGTAGACCGAAATGACAGCCAGCTGGACGTTCCGTAGAGGGTGACGGCGGTGGCTAAACTCGCCTCATTCCCAGACACTCGGCATGAGGACGAAGGCCAGCCCCTCCTTTCACTTTGGCAGCTCTGCTGCAGCAGCCAGCACCGAACAGGCCATTAAACAACATGTAGTTATCATGGTGATTATTATTATTATTTATTATCAGAAATGTCCTGTTACAAGGATGCATAAGCAATCAGTAAGTACCAGAAGTCCAAGCACTGATTTTAACACTAGTAATGCATTTGAGAGACACTACAAATATACGATGAAACGGTGCTTTACAAATTAAGCTGAGTACAATCAGCTGTTAGACAACAGCTGATCCACACTACATGAATACAAGTATTTAAATATTGGAACTTAAACTTTCTGCATTTAAGTATTTGCAAAAAAGGCATTTATGGTAACAGCAACAGTTTTGTTTGGATATATTTGTTTTAAAGAAGCACGTTTGTTTAAATCCAGTTTTTATGTTGCTTTTTTTTTTTTTTTTTTACATGCAATAAAGATGTTCACAGCACGCGTCTCTCCTTTGTGGATGTTGCCTGGTCATGAAAGGTAGCACGACTCCAGGACCACTTTGTGGAAGAAAAATGTTTGCTCTGGCCAGTTAGTGACAACCTTTCACCACTGTTTCAAGAATTTATTTCACATTGAAATGTATTGAAAGGTTGCTGTAATCTTGCTGTAAAGTAATATGTAAGAGCATGTCAGGTCCTGAAATGTACAACAGTCATGCCCCCCACAATGCATATTTAAAATCATGATCCCTGGGTGGAGTCCAGTTTAACAGCCTGGCCTCCGTGTTCTCAGCAGCTGTCTGGCAGGGTCTTGTAAGGGTTGAGGATCCCATGTGGGTCAAGCATGCGTTTGATATCCCCCATGAGGGCCACGGCCTCTGGAGGCTTGCTGTAATGAATGTAGTTCCTCTTCTTCAGGCCCAGTCCGTGCTCGGCGCTGATGCTGCCTCGGCACCCGGCGGTCCATTTGTACACATACGGCTCGATGGCCGCCAGCAGATCAGGGTCTCTGGAATGGGACGTGATGTTCAGATGGAGGTTCCCGTCACCTATTGGGGAGACGAGGGCAAAGCATGTAACGAATCCACTATCTGGTATGTGGAGTGCTATTTCCGAAAGTATTGTAGTTACCATAATTATGCCAGAACCTTGTAATGAGACTAGATAGAGTAGAGAGCTCTCACCAACATGACCATAACCAACAACATTCTTGGCCTTGTCTCCAAGGTGTTCCCTCATGTCTTCCACCAGCTGGTAAATCTTCTCCACGGGCAAGGAGATGTCATACTTATAGGTGTAACCGTCGTGTGTCAATCCCTCGGTTATCCGCTCCCTTAAAGCCCAGAGTGCCTGTACACAGAGGAGTAATTGGCTGTCCTCTCCAGACAACATGCATTTTCAAAAGACGTGCTGTTGTATTTCTGCAGAAACTCAAAATGACCAGCTGCAAGACACAAATGGATGCAGACCTTGATTTTAGCATCTTCAGTAGCCACAGTTCCGTCGGTCACCAGTGACAGTGTCATGACTTCCTGCAGGAAATGGTGTAGCTTTTCCTCGTCGTGGCTGGCGTTGGACCCCGCCGTCTCAATAACGATGTAAAATGGGCTCTCTGTGGCACAAAGCGACTCGTGAGGTTCTCCTGGTCTAAAATCTGGGTCCTCTAGCTCAGCGTTTCCCAGACTGGTCCTTGGGGACCCAGAGTAATTAACCAGACTGCGACAGAGAGGGAGCAAAAATGTGGACTGTCTGGCAGGGAGCTCGGAGGGAGCAAAAACACGAACCGACTGGGACCCTTAGGACCTGATTGGGAAACACTGCTCAAGCTAACTCAATCTTCAAGGTCTATGAGTTCATTCACGTATTTTGTCATGATGCTGAGCCTCTATCTGCTGGATCCTCACTAGAGGCAAATGTAAACAGACCATTAAGGGACCTCCTGACCGAATCCCACAGGGATGACCCCACTCCAACTATCCCAGCAAAGCTAGTTCCGTTTACCTCTTATGGGATTATTCAGTTTCAGGTGCTTCTCCAGTAACCTCATGCAGGCACCGTCTAAGAATTCGAAGGCAGACAGAATTTCCCCCAGCATGCCCCTGCAGCAATGAAACGTCTTCAGCAGTTGCTGAAAACTAGAACAACCTGGGGGGGGTTCAGACAGTTGTAAAAAACATTAGAACAAAGAATGTTTCTAGAATGGCAACAGCCACTCGGCACAAAATAACATGTCAATGTGTGAGAGCACTTGGATACCTAGGAAGGCCACGTTGACTGCTTTTGGTTTCCGTGGACACAGGATCGACACCGCTGTGATGACCCCGAGCGTGCCCTCTGACCCAATAAACAGCTGCTTGAGGTCATAGCCCGTGTTGTCCTTCCTCAGGGATGTAAGGCAGTTTAAAACCTTCCCATCGGCCAACACCTGCAGAGCAAATGTGCCAGTTTGGAAATGACAACAGCTTAAGGCACAGCTTTGTCATTTAGTGGTGAATTCCGATTAGAAGCATGAGCTCCTGCCAAGCCAGGAAAATACAGAAGTGTTTAGTGGATGCACCTCAAGTTTGGCAGGCCCTTCTAGCATCAGGGCCGGCAACATATCTGGAATGTGCAGCAGAAGGTCATGACCACTTGCTGGTCGTGAGTGATCTTACCACTTCCAGGCCCAGCACCGTGCCCCGTAGGGAGCCATGGCGAAGTAGCCGTAGCCCCCCCGCATTGGTGGCCACGTTCCCCCCGATTTGGCAGCTGCCCTTGGCACCAAGATCTAGGGGCATGATGAAGTCGCGCTCCTCCACGTAACTGGAAAGATTCTCCAGCACGCAGCCTGCCTGACAGGTAAGGATTCCTGCAAGGCGGCCAGACAAGCCTCACTAGAAAACCAAGCATCACAAGGAATCCATAATCGTGTCGTCTGCTCGCTAGAACAACTTGCTGGGTTGCCAGGGCAACATGGCCGATGGCACGGGCAAACGGACCGGACACCTGGTCGAAGTGCAGAACGCGGTTCATGAGGGAGGTGGAGAGGATGATCTCATCAAACACGGGCACGCTGCCACCCACCAGGCCCGTGTTCCCACCCTGGGGGTTCACTGCCAGTCGCCGCTCATTGCAATATCTGTAAGGCCAGGAGCAGACGTGGGCATGAGGGACTCCCCATCAGGTAAAATGAAGAAGTGACTTTCAAGTGTCAAGTACCGTACTCCTAAGAAAAGAAGCTTAACCTGAGAATCTGAGAGACATCTTCAGTAGTCTGGGGTCTCAGGAGAAGCTCACTGGAGCCTGAATATCGAGCAAAAAATCAAAGATAATGACGTTTTAACCAAATAAATTCAAGATCTTTACTGGCCATATGCCAGTTGCAAAGAGACTAAAACAGTACAGAATAGTACAAGAACTAGAGAATACACTAATGAAGTGACAAAGTACAGCCAACAGTGCCATAAAATGCAGGTGCATGTGACTGTCAGAAAATGTGGTTGCTGGAAATACAAATACCTTATTCTCTTGATAGAAAAATGTACAGCCATGGGAATACTTACCACGCACAGACTTCAGCCAGTCGACATTGCTGGATGCCAGCACATCCGGATCTGTGATGGTCCTTCCAGGCAGCGCCTTCTCAAAGAAAGCCAAGTCCCGCTGGGAGACCCTGGAGAAGGGAAGTCGCTTTATCTCGACGCCGGCAGTGCTGTTGGTTCTCATCCCACGGGTCTGTCCCGAAGCCACCAGCCTGTTTGTCTCTGGGGCAGCATACACACCTCCCAAGATGCTCAGGCTGGACAAACACTGTGACCGAATCCAGCGATATGGAGCTTGCGCTCCAAAACTCTTGAGTCCATGAAAACAGTTCGCCATGGCTTAATAAACAAACAAAAAAACATCACAGAAAATTTTATGTCTGTTTTCTACAATAAGAAATCCATACTCCACACACATATTTCTGACCGAAAACTAACTGGCAGAAAAATATCTAATGGAAACACCGGCGTGGGCACAGACCCGAGTCAGGGCCTTATAAAGGTAATCCAGGTCAATTTAAATCCAAAAATAAAACTCTGTTTCCTAAAATAAACTGTTGTTTCTTCCACAAATAGATCGTAGTGGTGGAAATTTCATTCCCTTCCCATACACACACCCACGTCGTACTACCAATAACATCTATCTCGTAATAAACAGTGCCAGTTACTGCAAAGCAACAATTTTTGCTTTGTTCATGGCTTTCTTCATATGCTAATCACTTACGTAAGTCGACCTGGCTAAGGGCGTCTGCCAAATGCTGTAAATGTAAATGTTGACGAACTGCAATATATCTGCATGTATGACAACCAAACTGACTTTAACAAGCTCCGTTCATAATGAAGTCCACTAAGTAGCAAAGGATCAAACAGCTTCAGATTTGTATATGCACTTACCTATTACGTACGACACAGCAGGAGTTCTTTTTTTAATCAAAAATGCATCCGTCGCTAATTAAATAACTACATCCTTCAGTAAATTACTGCAGAAATGCTCATATCCTACTGTATTTTGAAATGTGTTGTTAGCATAGACAGTAAAGGAAAGTGAGCGTTTAAAGGAAGGTAGAAATACTGACCAATAGCGATGTGAATTCTGCCCTGTTCCAACCAATCAGATAGAATTTCTATTCCAGCCAATAGGACGGGAGGAAGTCCCGACCACGTAATTGAGTTCGGCGTTCGAGTTCACGCGGGCTGGATTAAAAAAAATTGTGTACAGCGATTAGGAAAGATGGCGAAAGCGATATATTTGGAGCATTATCTTGACAGTAAGTCCCAAGAAATTAATAAATGTCATGATAGTATACGATAGTCGTTATAATAAAGATCACTTTCGTTCACTGTTTGAGTTAAAGCTTCCGAGTCATGGCTTATCTCATGGAATGGATCGCTAGCTAGCTGGGAAGCTAACAGTTTGGCGCTGTCGCAGTCTGGTTAATTACTAAATAATTTAATGTCGTATGATCATTAAATATAAAAAACACAACATTCAGTGTTTCTGATGCCCACCGAGTGGTATCCCTTGCAGCTTTAACAAGTCTTTATTGTAAGCTTAATATAGGTTTTCAGCAGCTGTTTTAGCTTGAGCGAGTGAGATACAAACAGGAAACCCGGCGGAAGTTGATCATGAAGTTTTTTTTTTTAATGATTCTCTTTTCTGCCTGATTTCATTAAGTAAACAGCCTAACCACTAGTGTATTGAAACATTTGACGTATCGGTGTCGTGTTTCATTGTATTTGTTTTGAGTGTATTTTGAGGTAACGCTCATAAATCAGATTTTTGTTTCGGATCACCGTGTTTATCTCATTGTAAAACAATACGACACATTAATTCCAGACAAATTATTATACAATTTACAATGCCTGGTCTTTTAATACTGAGAGTTTGGGTAACACTAATAAGAGATGCATGTTATTCATAAACATGCATGTTATTCATAAACATGCATGTTATTCATAAACATGCATGTGATTAAAACGGGCGATAGTACGTCATGAATCTCATGCGAGGGTTGTTGTATTGTTTCAACATAGGGTCAGACGGGATTATGACAGGTTTTGTTCCCAAGGCAAAATATAAAATGGGCAGATTCTCGTTGGTACACATTGTTACGTACGGTTGTTGGGTATGTGTGTATGCAGGCAGCAAAGCATGGGCTCACTGGCTTGAAATTGTTGCCCTAAAATGTTTCCACCAATGATTCCGGAGGTTATTCTTAAATAAAATAATTTTTATTCCTATAGTCCCCCCTAATATCTACTGAAAACCAGTTGCCATGCACATAACGGGAGATTTTTTTTGAATGCCTACTGTTGCATTTTAATGGCCTTTGTAAACGTGTCTTAAAACAAGCTACTAGTTTGGACTGATCATTGAAACTGGAATCTGTTGACTGTTGAGTATCTATTATGTGCAGGGTATTGTTTCACATTTAGAGTGCACAGGATGTCTGAATTCTCTTTGGTGGAATCAGGGTGATGGTTTCCTTTATCCGAGGTATTGAAAGCCTGCCGTGTGAACTGCAGAGAAGCTTCACCCTTATGCGTGAGCTGGACACCAGGACTGAAGGTATGTGCTACAACTATGTTGTATTAAACACCTGTGTGCCTTTAAACCTGTGCATCTCCAAAGCTCCATCTCCATCTCCGTGATGCTTGGTTTTGCTCCATTGCTGTCTGAGCATTTTATCTTCATGCTGTGACTTTGCGTGCCTGTTCCTCTCCATACGTGCCCATCTGTAGAGAAAAAGGGGGAGATCGACAAGTTGGCGGCAGAGTACATTGCGAATGTGAAGACGCTGGCCTCCGAGCAGAGGGTGGAGCACCTACAGAAGATCGAGAGCGCCTACGGCAAGTGCAGGGAGTACAGCGACGACAAGGTGCAGCTGGCCATGCAGACGTATGAGATGGTGAGGGCCGCGCCGCTGGGGCGGATGCCGGGGCAGACGCGTCGTGGCGATTCGCTGAGCGGCCCTGTGCCATTTCACCACAGGTGGACAAGCACATCCGCAGGCTGGACGCTGACCTCGCCCGCTTCGAGAACGAGCTGAAGGAGAAGCTGGACATGAGCGGTTACGAGAGTCCAGATGGGAAGGATTTAAAAAGTATGGGAGCCAATGGCATTAATTCCATTTTCCCTTCATGTTGCAGGGGGGTGGGGGTGGGGTGCAGTGAAATCATTTGGATCTTATTTATATCGTGGTAGATGCCCAAACACGGAGCATTTGTAGGTCAGTGAGTTAAATTTTTCAGGTAAATGACTTGTTTATCTAGGAAGGGGAGGAGCTACAGCTTTTAGTAATTGTGATAAGGCTGAGATGATACTGCAGCTTTTATCTCTGTGACATCATGACCAAAATAAATTTGGATGACTAATCACATTCTATTTCACTTTCTGGCTAAATCCTGGGTGGCATTTTTCATTGTGTTAAGCTAATAATCTGAGACAGTAAATAGATTTATGTCCATATTATCACACTCAGGCTACATACCCTTGCTGAAGCCTGCCCTTTATGTCTCTGGGAGCAAGAAATGATGTCATGTGATATATTTTGGAAGCATCCACTGTTCTGCCATTTAAAATTGGAGTCAGTCATTCAGAAAGGTGCATTGTGGGTCGCATGAATAGTAGCCCCTGTACACAATGGGCCTGCTTGTTTTAATATCTTACTGGTCCTGTTTCCCTTTATTCCCAAAAGCTGTCTTACTTGAGAGGTCTGAATGCGACCTGACCCGTGTTTTTGCAGAAACCAAGAACCCAAAAGAAAAGCGGAGTTCGAGAACGAGAGCAAAGAAGGGGTCAGACGAAGATTCGCCGAGGAAGAAGAAAATGAAGAACGGGTCTGAACACCTCCCTCATATTCTTTTCGCAATAGACTGTTGCGTTTTATACTTAAGGAGACCCTCACCCTTAGAAACGCCAGCTGCAGGGAGAATGACTCTGATTCCCTGAAGTGAGCTTCGATATACAAGAAAAGTGCTTTGCATTGTTTGGTTTGTGGATTTTTGGCTCTTGTTTTGATAGTATAACGTCATTTTAGATAGGTCAGTAGATGGGTATATTATTAATCCTGAAGATAATTGCAGGTTTACAGTAGCACAACATATTTTTAAATAGTGAAAACTATTTAGACATTAATATACATTAACAATAAATAATACATGTATGTTCATAATGATAAAGACAAAAATAATAATATATATCCTCTTCAGCTTGTTAGCAGCACAGTCACTTCATGTTTTAACGTCGCGTCCTTTCTCTCAGTCCTGACTTCAGTAACTCCCTGCTGGCCGTGCACCCATCCGACGTTCTGGACATGCCTGTGGACCCCAACGAGCCGACGTACTGCCTGTGTCACCAGGTGTCGTACGGCGAGATGATCGGCTGCGACAATCCTGACGTGAGTGCACCCGCTTCCCGGCGCTTTCTTGTTGCACACAACTGCGTAACTCTAAGCTTGGCGTTAAATGAACCTTTCCTGAATAGGATGACCTGCGGCCATGTTGTCCGAGTACGACTGCATGTCATGGATAAAGAACTTTCAGCTTTATAAACTCAAGAAGAACTTTCTAAACTCAAGGGTTATTTTGTGTAAAATAAAGACGTGAACTACAAGCTTCTGATTTTGCCTAGTAAGCTCTGTTTTTTAATAGTGGAATATCACGTTATATATATCTCATGTAGCGTCAACAGTTTTACTGTACGATGTTTATTGATGAATTTTCCTGCATTCTTGTTTGCCGTTTATAGTGTCCTATTGAGTGGTTTCACTTTGCTTGCGTGGACCTCACAACAAAGCCCAAAGGGAAATGGTGGGTGGACAGCCTTTGGGCTAAAAGACACGGTGCCTGGAATATCAATCAAATAAATGTTGGTTCATTTTGATGAGAGAAAGACATGTGAATTATTACATGTGTGTTATTCTTCCTTTGTCTCGTCAGGTATTGTCCACGCTGCACCCAAGACCGGAAGAAGAAATAAGTTTGCACTGTCGTGTGGTTTTAAGTATTGCATATATAAAATGCTTCTTTGTTTATGCAGTACAGATACATATATATGTTTTGTCAGTATGGGCTATAATTTCACAATCAGTCAATAGATTTCCTGTATTGGAGGAATGAATATTATTTGGCAAGCAGTCGTCGTATTAGCTGAGCTCAAAACAAAGTACTGGTGTACTCGTAGTGGCCGTGAAGCAGTTCTCAATGTGGGTATATAGAAGAGAAATCTTTCAGCTGAATGACCTACCTCACTGGATGAAATGCTTTTGGTTCTAAACTAAAAAAGGTGGGTGGGGGGGGGAGTCGCGGGCCGGTCCTGTGATGATCAAGAGCCCTGACCCGGTCAGTGCTGTAGGAGGTGCACGCTGACCTTGCCAAGTGAGTAAGAGGATAGTAACGTGAGCTTATTAATCAGCAATATGAACATGTGATTTGTGGGTGTAACTGAATTGAGGCCAAAGTTCTGCTGAACACTGAAGACGGGTTAAAAATGCAGGTACTAGAGCGTGTGAGGTGGACAGTGAAGAGCAGGCATGTGGATCGGTGCCTTCTTGGTTCTGCTTGTTCCATTGCTTATATTTACTAATGCAGTTTGTTTACGCTCATTCACTGCTGGAGTCAGCTTCAGGTGTGAGGTCCAAAGTTTGTTTCCTGGACTGTGAATGTTCTTGCAGTAAAGGGATCTTTCTTGGGTTACCTATATCTGCTGTTGGTAACAGCTGTTAAGCAGCTTGTGTGGGTTGTGCAAGAGGAAGTCCTGCGTGCAGGTTTTACTGCAGGTGTGCTGTGCACTCTTCGATTGGCGTCTGGACACTTGGTTGATCCGAAGCTCCCTTAGAAACTTGCCCATAATTGTCAAAATGGTTCCACAACATTTATGGCTTTTGATTCTTTAATGAAAAATTAATTGCACAGTATGAAAAATATATATACCTGTGTAGATTCTTCTACAATTTTTGACACCAAAATACATGGACTTCATTTTTGTGGGAGGAACCTAATGGGAAAAAAAAAAACAATTCCGTATAGTTTGCTGTGTATTTTAAACCCCTGATTAACAAGTTGACTGTATTATAACTAGCTCTGTCATATGGCTGTGTTGTTTGGCCTGGTCCACTGGCAGACTCTCTGTTGACAAAGCTGAAAGGTATTTGCTAGCTTATAAGCAGAGATTTTTAATTTTTGAATTATTGCAATAAGATGTGGCTTATACCTTGCATGCAAAAGTAAAGGTAATTTCTTTTAGGATTAGAAGCTTTAAAAAGTTGAATGTCATAAATCCATCTATTTTCTAGCCACTAATTTTGTTCAGGGTCTTGGGATGTCATAAATATTGTGGTAGTTCTATATATTCTGGTTTATTGTAATATACACACTTTCATCAGTGCCACTAAATCCTTTTGTCAGCTGGAGCAGAAAAGCACTATGAATATGTATTGGAGAACAACTTCATGCTTCAGGCTTGCTGCTTTTTCTCAAATGCTTTTCCAAAGAGAATGCATTATTTTCTTTTGTAAAGAAACAAAGCATTGGATAACTGATGTATATAGACTTTGTTGTATATCTGTATTTTTGGCCATGCTATATTCTTATAAATAAAGGATATCTTGGAAAAGACCGGTTTTATACTTGTTTACGGATCAACGTATTGCTCTTAATCATTTCCAGGCACACACCTGCCTAAAATTGTAATTTAACTTTAATAACTAATTGTGTTTTAAATGTAATTTAAACATGGGTGTCATCGGCAAGAGTTGATTTCCAAACGTCAATATTTTCTTAGACGTTTTAAAATACGCGGTGTACGATGGACTGCAGTTTGGAATCCTCTGCTGGAAATAATCGGTAAAAAATCAATCTGGACATTTCCACAGTACGAAAAGCAGCGTCCCTGTGATCGTTTGTAAATTGTTCACCAGATGGCGCTGTTTTGCATCTGAATGGCTTATCACTTGGTCTGAAATGTACTGGAAGTGGACTGGCCACTCCATGGATGCAAATTGAAGAAATAGTTCATATATTAAAGTTTATCCCAAAAAATTACTATAATTTTCGACGCTAACATTCTTCTGCCTTGTCATAAAACCTACTTTGTCATCAAATTGGCCCAAAAATGACTATCCCATCTGAAAGGTGAACTGACAAACTAGATTCCTAATACAAATAACTAACTATACGGTTGACTTTCACGTCTAAGAAATTATGCTCAGTAACCCAATGACGTTTGGAATCTTATTATAGTGCACAGAATTTGTGGAATTAATGTCAAAAGGTAAATTACAGTATTGCTGCATTGTTATTGTTATTGAAGGACTGTCGGTTGCAGGTTAGAATGCAGAAGTTAGATGCTTGAGGCGCGAACTATTGGTTCTAAAGTTTCCATATTTACACATTACATATCAGAAATTAAGCCTGGCTACATCGCCTTACTAAACAAATTGAATATTTAAATTTTTCGTGGTTTAACTATTTTAGTGTCATCATAGAATTTTGTACTGCTTCTAGGTCGTGTATTTCCAAGAACTACACATCTGCCCGCACATGTATAGAGTTCCTCTAGAGGCTCTTGGGAAAAGTAGTTTATGCTACGTTCAAGTTGCCAACTACGTAAAAGTGGACCTCGAGGACCACAATGCATTTCGAATGGCAAAAAAGTTATTCTGACTTTTGACTTTGGATGATTTTATTGCATGTGTTATATGCAATACCATATGTTCCACTCTTCTAAATTATATATATATATATATATATTCATGTTCAGCGTGTAAACTAAAAAGTGTAAATATAGTGTTAGCTATTTGCAAAATGTTCCAAGTTGGGCTTGGTCGGTAGTTCCGCTTCCCCTCCGCCATTGCGGATCTGTCCGGTCCAACAAGGTAAAGGAATAAAAATCAAGTTAAGATACCAGTGATTTGGCGGTGGGAAAGCCAAGCTTATATATAACACAAACTGTATTATACAGTGGGACTTGGCACCGGGTCCCTGCAATCTAACGCGGTTCGCCGAGGAGGCGGGGTTAACTTATAGCAGTTCTGCGGGAGTTTGGTTCCGAGTTTCGCTGGTAAGTTATAAATGTTCTGCGGGAGATTTTAAACGAAATTTTATTTGGCTAATAGGCAGTCTGTGTGCGTTGGGATAAAGGTCGACGCGAGTTTTATTTAATGATCTTACTTTGAGCACAGTTTGGCGCAAACGGTGGCATGTCGCCGGGAAGATGCGCAGAGATTGATTACCTAGATTGAGAGCAAGTCCCCCATTTGCGTGCAGTTAAGGCTCCACTGCCTGTTAAGCTGTTTTCATTGTGGAAATCTAATGTGAATTTCAGCTAAAGTTAATTTGGTTCCGTTCCTATGGATATTAAAGAAAAACGCGCTGGCTCATATTTACATTTACTGAAAGATGTATGAAATTTTACATAATACCTGACCCGTCTTTATTCTACTGTCAGAATATATAATGTATTGGAATTGGAATCTATATTTGACAGCGTAAACATGTGCTGAACGTGTTGACGTAAGTTAAATATATATAATGCAATATAAAAAGAATTTGTATGCATATGTAGTTATGGCATTGAAAAACATAGACGCAAAAAATCGTGCACCAACGCCGCACCGATGATCTGCTTAATGTTTATAGGTTTGCATTCCTGCTTACGGAAACCGGTTTCTTATGGAACAGCAGATTTCTGATCCGAAACTATACACGGTGTGATGGAGGCGCATGATCAATGTACACTTGGCTGCTCGTATTTCAGGTTTCATGTTATAATTACCACCAGGAAGTGCTTTGATGAACCCTGGGGATGAAATTGCAACACTTTAAGTATAATGTGCGATTGAAATGAAGCGCAGCCGGAAAGTGAGCTACCGTAAATTGCATTGTATGTGATAGTGGTGAGTTGTTTAAGGTTTATTGTGTTTACGCAAAACTTCCAGTTATGCGTCACGCAAGCCAATTCCCACCTCACTTGCTTCTGTGACTGGGCTGTCGTGTTTTTTCCTTCAAGGAAGTGAAGGGAAATGACGTGCAACGCACACAACACTTGCCTCTGTGTATATATGTGTGTGGCAGCAGCAAAAACACAGGCAAGCAGTCAGTAGCTGAAAAACTGAAACACGGTTTTCGGTAATGGGGCCCAGGTACCACAGGAAATAGCCCGTTTTTGAAGGGGGGCGGCTTCAGGAAGCTGTGCATGGAACTTCCTCTTATAAGTATTGCGAGTACAAAAGGCTTTCTGCCCCTTCCTGTAAACAGTTCCTTAATGCAGTGGAGGCAGTAGCTGGAATGTAGAAAGATTAGTATTTAAATTATTGTAAAAAAAAAAAAAAAAACATATTGAAATTACAGTTTGCATAATGAGGTCCTTTGAGATCTCACTTTATTCCCCTGCTTGCCTTAAACCAGGAAAACATTCCTGTTTACTAATGAAGTACACACATGATGATATATTTCCCAGGAGAAACACTATTTACTGGGCTCAAAGTCACAACAGGAGAATGGGATTTTAATTATATTTAATTTACATTTTTCATATTTTTCCATATAGAAATATTAATCACAAAAATGTGAAATATGCAAATATAATTTCCCCCCCCCAATCCTAGCCCAGTCCTAGCCTTTTGTTAATGTTGCTTTTATTTTGTATACATGATGAAAGTGCCTCTAAATGCAATGGATGCATATATACTAATACTGTGGATCATCATTTCTGTTGAATTGTTCCTTCCTGAATTCAAATTCCCATTCATTTGCTTGGCGTGAGTCGATTCTGGAATTCTTAAGATTCCTAGCTGCTCCTTTCCCTTCCACACCTTTAGGTCTTACTGTGTCGTAGACGTGACTGTATATGTTTCTGAATGTGGTGCCTGGAGGCAGAGGCTGGAGGACACTGCATTCTGCAACGGTCTCCTCAGCTGAGGAGATGCTGTGCCGTTGAGGCAGACAGTCCCACCCGGCGTCACGTCGATTTGCATTTGGGCCTGAGTGGTGGAGTCACGCCGTTCCTCAGGATGGTCCGTAAGGCGTTGAAGTTCCGTTGGGAGAATTTCTGCTAGTCGTCCTCTGCCGTAATGGGCTTTTCTTTCTGTGCCGTTGTCCTTCTGCCTTGCGGTAGTTGCCCTTGACAAATAAGCCCCTGAAAAACAGGTCTGTGCTATAAATCTTGCGAAATTTGGGCACTATTTTTCCCAAAGCGCTATGGAAATACTATCCTCTGGCAACCAATTTGGGGTTTTGGTTTGACTAGCTAGCTGCCTTATTACTCATTACACATCAACACTTTTAAACAAAAACTTGTTTTGCGTCGGGACAATAGCACATGATGCAATGTGAAGTGTATATAATCTAGACATTGTGTCAGTGTTAGTAGGTTGTAGTATTTTGTTTAATAAATGTGTAAATGTAGCAGCATGATGATGAGCTAGAAGCAATTCCATCTCAGTTGTATATTGATGAGCTGACAGTCGAGGTCTCTTGAAGTATCGGGGTTAAATGCATGTTGATGGACAGGAGACTGGAAGTTGCCCAGAGCTGGGGAGTCGCTGAGGCGGCATGCGACATGCCTGCACTCGCAGCGCTGGAACCTGAGCAAGAATGAGGGCAGCCTGGTACTGGCTGGGTCTCGTGCCTGCCGGGGCATGCACGCCTCTGTTTGCTTAAGAAAGGGGGAGGGAGGATTAGAAAGACAGAAAAAGCGAGTGAGAAACTGCACACACGACGGGACAGGTAGGGAGACGGGACAGGGACCCGTCTGCCGCCCTCCTCACCAGAGTCAAAGGCGGGGATTCGGCCAGGGTGCGGAGCCCCTTGGAGTGGAACCTGTCGGACTTCCCCGGGGTGTTGAGGGTGAGGACATGTCGGAGTTGAGTGTGTGGGAGTGCATGTATGTGTGGAATGTCACTTTATGGTTCCTGTTTTTTTTTTCTCCTGGAGGGTTTGAAGTTTCTGTGTGTGATAGTCGTTGAAAAGTCGAGAATCCTCTAAGGTGGATTTCGAACTTTATGGTCGTTTGAAGCACAAACTTGGCTTTCTGAGCTGCTCAGCTCACAGATGGAGGTTCTGACTGCGTGCTCTTGAAAGATCATTATCTAGCCTTCAGAAGAAAGACCAGCCTGCTACGTCTGCAGGTCGTTGCCTGAAGGGCATCCAATCAATGGTCCTCTTGCGAGTGATGGAATGTTGAGTTTGGTTTGTTTCCACTGGTTACGGTGGCAGGTGTGTGGCCTCTCTGTTGCCAGTTGAAATCGTAATTACCGCAGTAAAAGATAGCGTCGGCCGAATAAGACCGTAACACGTCAAGCCGTGGATGTCGCAGTGGATTAAATGGCTGCTCACATAATAAATAGTATCGACGAAAGCGAGAATGGGGTCGGTCTGCATGCATGTTCCTGAGTGACAGGGCTTTCCCCGCTAATGAAGCTTCCTGCATTCACCGAGGAGGAAGAGACAGGGGCTGGCTTGTGGTCAGACCGACGCTGACAGGCCATGGCGGATGCTGGGTTTTGTTACCTTATTTGGGCATGGAGGGGAGTGTGACCATATTGCTGATTACAGAACCTAAGACCGGAGACCAATGGTGGTTTTTTTTTTTTTTTTGGCGAGGTGTTGGGTTGAGACATGTCTGGTCTGAGACTTCTCTCTCCATCTCTGGGCATTACACTCCACCCCCTCTCTCTCTTTTGGAGCAAGGAAGCATGTCAACGATGCACAGCCTTTGCTGTGAGGCACGTCTTTGCGCACGCTGAGGACCTGCTGAGTACCACTGTCCAGGAATAGTGGATGCACGCTTCATCTGGATGATCTGCAGGCTGCTCCCCGAAGCCACGATTTGCACACAAACCAGCGTTAAACCTTCTCCCTCTTCTCTCCTGCTGATATGAGACCCCCCCCCCCAGGAGACTTGGTGCGCAGAGGTCACCGCTGGGTCATAGGATCTTGCCCACTTGGCACTGCGACGGCTGTCACCTTTTTCATAGACGGGAAGTGGCAGATGTAGGGAGGAAGTGATGCATTGATGTGATCTACATGACAGGCGATAGCGTTGTGACAGCATGCATCTCACTGGGTCTGCAGAGGAAGAAAATGTGGTGAATGACAGATTGACATATACTTGTTTGAGTAGAGAGGTGGCACCATTAGAGGAACAGGGGGGCAGGTCTTGGGTCAGATGTGTTGTGGAATGGAATACAGGCTGTGAGCTTTTTTATGTGTTGGCTTGCTTGCAAAGGCTGACTCATCAGACTCTTTGAGGTTCCCATCTCTCCACACTGTGGTGTCTTGGCATCTACTACCATGTATGGGGATTTTTAATTTTAATTTTTTTGCTTAGTAAGCCTATCGCACGAAAGCCTTTATCTGGCTAGCTGAGACAGGATGCTCCGAACCGCCGGCATCGTGTCGTTAGCGGCCGTGCCCTCGTCTCATTTTTGGGTCGAGGATTTGCCGTTCCGATGTGCGTTGTCTCCCTCCCTGGTTGGCGCTTCGGTTGGGCATCTTTGCTTCCTAGACTCACACTCCCATGAAAGATGGCGTCCTGTTGTCCGATGACGATTATGACTAAATGTCGAGGCTAAATGACTAATATATTCCATAGCCTTGTCTTCAAGTATTGGTTTGAGTATCGGTTGTCTAATAGATGATTCTAATCTCAACACTTTGTCGGTCTGCAGGTCGGTCTCTGTGCCCCTCTCGCTACCCCCTCCCCCTCCTAAGTGCACCCCTGTCATGTCCGATAACGGTGAGCTGGAAGACAAACCTCCGGCGCCCCCCGTTAGAATGAGTAGCACCTTCAGCTCTGGTGGCAAGGACCCACTGTCAGCCAATCACAGCTCAAAGCCCCTGCCCTCAGTGCCAGAGGAGAAGAAATCCCGGAACAAGATTATATCCATCTTCTCTGGAACGGAAAAAGGTGGGAACTGTTGGCTAAGCAGACGATGAATTTTAAGAAAGAGGCTACAGGCAGCTTTTAGATGGCTCTGGGAGGAGGGTTTGGTAGGTTTGGAGTTCAGCACTATCTGAACTTTGATTCATTTAGGTGGTAGGAGGAAAGATAGAGACAAGGAGCGACCAGAGATCTCACATCCGTCCGACTTCGAGCACACGATTCACGTGGGATTCGATGCCGTCACCGGAGAATTCACTGTGAGTGACTTCATTCAATTCTCAATGAGTTTTTTTTTTTAAGTCATTATTAAAGAGTTGTCTTTTTGAAAGACTGTGTCATGAGATGGTACCGGTGCCCACAGGGCATGCCGGAGCAATGGGCGCGGCTTCTCCAGACATCCAACATCACCAAGTCAGAGCAGAAGAAGAACCCTCAGGCCGTGTTGGATGTTCTGAAGTTCTATGACTCGACTGGCAACGGCAGACAGAAATACCTCAGCTTCTCAGCCTCGGGTAAGAGCACGTGCGGGAAAGACTGTACCATGTCTTTTTGAAGACAAATAATTCCACTGAGACTTAATACTAAATCCCCTCCCTCTCTCTCTCCCGCTCCTCCCCCATTCCTTCCTCCAGACAAGGATGGAGAAGCAGTAAGTGTCATTAACTCCCTGAAAGTCTTCAAAAACATACAAACCCATCATTAGCTTCCTGAGGTGGGGCGGTCAGCCTGTGGTGACTGATGATTCAGGAAGTGGTTAAACAGGCTTAAAACTATTTGTTATTGGTAGTAAACTGAATTATCATCCTTACCGTAACAACACCTATAGTTTGGTTTGCAAGACGTCCCCCTGTGGCTGAGCTTATCCTCTTTTTAATTTGCAGAACAAAAAGGGACCTGGAACTTCAGTTAAGGAAGTCGAAGATGATGACGATGAAGGGGCTCCGCCCCCCGTTGTGGCTCCACGGCCGGAACATACCAAATCAGTGAGTTTGATTCTTCTGGGTCTAAGGACGGCCCTTATTCTCATCCAAAGCTACAGTTAAGCGTTAGGGCTTAGGTCTGCAGCAGCCTTGCTCTTAAAGGGGCATACATGGTTAATATTCCTCGAGCAGTGATCTAATTCAACCGTTTTCCAGATATCTATAACCCAACGGGGTGAAAACAAGAAAAAAAATCTTGCACACAAAAAATAGGCTTAAAAATAAAGGAATCAATGGTCTTAATAGTCTAAAGAATATACAGGCTAAGCATCTACATTTTAAATTCCTCAATTTTTTCTGTTGATGCTGCTGCTGCGTCTCTATAAAATAAAATTTCACTGACAGCGTTACGTGAAATTTTAAAAATCCTATTAGACCTACTTTGAATGACAAAATGAATTTATTTGATTACCAATATTTACCAATATAGGCTTTTATACTTTAATTTATAGACTTGATATGCTACAACCATATAAAACTTGCTCACGTTTTGCTCTGGCTTCCGTCTGTTCGCATAAAACACTCTCGTGTTTCTGAGAAAAATGATTCCAAAGTGAATCTTTACTCACTGAAACAGTTTCACCACCTTGTTATTCTTGCTCTACATTATTGTCATCTATACGTTTGATAAGAATATTACACTTGTATGATCTATTTCCTTTGTGAAATACTTTGTGAATTCCATCTCGGCCAATTTCTGTAATAGTCTTCATAATTGTACAGATGAATTCTGGGTAGATTTGGGCACGCCTCAGAATCGTACTGTGAGCGGTATCGGAGCGAAATTGGAGCACGACAGAGCGACCGCTCCAGCCTTAATTAAAAAAACAGCTCCGCGCTTTGACTGAATTCCGACCGCTCCGCTCCTCGATCACGCTCCACTCCGCTCACATGCTCTGACCTGTAACAAACAGTAGTCATGGGTACCATGTACCCTTACATATGCATGCCAGCAACAGTGCTTGACCATTCAGGGAACTTGTATCTAAATTCTTCCCAATTGAGACAAACAAGTATCCCCCCCTTTAAACATCCACATGAGCAGTCCCTGCTTTTCCCTGAATTCCCCAGTCAGGAGTATAAAAAGGCTCAGGTAAGCCCCCCCC